AAGTATTATGATCATCCGGGTGGATGTAGTCCTGAGAAGGACTGTTTGATGTGACTGACGTTTCGACAACCTGAGCGGAAGTCATCTTCAGAGTCAAGTGAAGAATAAAAGTCAGATATTGGTCATATTTATACTGCCACGATAACAATAGCCTAATTACATGAAGAAGCATAATTGGCAGCATCGGTCTAATGAGTGCTAGTCGCTGTTTCGGTGTTGTGGGCRGTTTTATTGTTTCTAATAAGCCTATCATAAGAAGCCGGTAAATTAATTGAGCGATTTAGTGGATGATGCTCAAACTTGGTAAACCAACTCTATATATAAATATGTAACATATTATAAAACTATAAATTTCCCATCATGAGTCAGTTTTTCGTATCCCCTACATTTGTGATTATTTTATTTTATTTCCAATCTTGTCCAATTTCAGTTTAAAACCTCCCACCTCGCACCTGCTTTAAACCCTTCCCCATAGATAACCAAATCCCTGCCTTAAACCTAGCATCCTAAGCAGGCTACCCCATATATTCTCTTCTGGGATCCCTTTTTCTGTTGGGATCAAGCTGAGTAGTGAAAAGAGCCAAGGAGATGCCTGCATAGGAGGCTACTCTAAACCCTGTAAATTAGAGTTTTGAGATTGCATGAAAAGTCTCAGTTCATTAAAGAAGCCTCACCTTATCACTATTACGGCAGGTTACAGCAGGATCAATTGCTGCGATAACTTGAGTTGAAGGTGCAATATGTAACAACAGCCTTCCTAGACAGCGCTGTTGGAGGGGGAAAATAGAATTTGTTTGAATAAATTAATTCAAATATGAACATCCTTGAAAAAAATATATATATATATTGGAAACCAGTACTCACCATGCATTTTGTATCTGATTTTGGATCTAACTCGATTGCTGGAGCACTTAGCACCACCCCAGTAAAAAACTTTGGTCTTTCCATTGCAGTTAAGATTGCAATAGCACCTCCCTGATGAAAGTTATATCATAGAATTGAGCAACTAAATATTAATTACATGCTTAAAGCAAGAGAGGATCATGCAAGATTTGCAAGTTTTTGACTAAAATAATAAGTTGTGTAGTTACAGAAATTATCCATGACCCACCCCCCTAAAGGAATTTGGAATTTCTGAGGGATGGGGGGTCAGAGAAAGAACAAAATTACAGAGTTCGCATGGAAGAACATTGGAATTTCTGGGGGTAAGGGGGTCTTAAAAAAATTCCCGTTTGAGGTATGGATAAAATCTGGAACTTAACACTCTATAATCATCATTCCTTCACAGCTAAAATTGTAACAATGGCTAACCAGGTAAAGGGGGGTAATTATCACTAAYGATAGTATGACCAGTTGGATTAAAATAGACTTGCCACAAGTCCTACTACTGTAGCTGTGTCTATGAGCGGGTAGTGTGAGGTGGGTCAAAAGCTTAGTAGTATATGCTCACTTCAGTATTAACAATTATCAATATTTATTTATTAGATAGAAATACATGGGTGCACACATACCATGGAATGGCCAAACAGGAAAACTGGTAGTGATGGATATTTTGCTGCCATTTCATCAATGTGCTGGTAAACATCTCTAACATATGTCTCAAAACTGTCTATCTGGGCTCGCTCCCCATCACTCTGACCATGACCAACTGCATTGGACATGAATCATACAATCATTAAAATGATACTTCCAGAAAATAAGAATCCACCCCCTCCCCCCCC